TGAAACTGATCAGTGGCTGATTCCAGGAAGCTGGGGGCAGAGCAATTCTGCCTCCAGCTTCCTGTAGTCAGCCCCTGGTCAGTTTCAGCAGCAGCGGCTGAATCTGGAGCCAGTTCCGACTTACATACAAATTCAACTTAAGAACAAACCTATAGTCCCTATCTGGTACGTAACCCGGGGACTGCTTGTAGTAGCCTTTTTTCTGGAGAAGAGGTTGAGTTTTGAGTGAGAAGACTAAGGGACAAAAATGGAGACCAGAGAAATGCTTTCTGAAAGGGAAAGGGAAAAAGTCCCATCCAATGACTATCAAAAGGTAAGAACAAAACCAGGAGAGGATGGAGACACAAAAGCCCAGGAATAATAGGATTTTAAAAAGAAGGAGAGGAGTAGGAAGAATATGGTTGACCCTAATTTTAAATGCCTGGCATTACTGTAGTATTAGTATTCTCTTAGCATTTCTGGGTATGTGGTGTAGTTCTTGCTATCATTTGCATGCCTCTCAAAGGACTTTTTCAGTAAATCGGTTAATCCAAAAGAAGATTAAGAACCTAGGAACACAAGAAAAGCCATATTGGGTTAGATCAATGGTCCACCTACTCTAATATCCTGTCTTCTGACGGTGGCCAATGCTAAATGCTTCAGAGAGAATGAACAGAAGAGGCAATCTTTGAGTGATCCACCCCATGTTGTCCACTACCAGCTTCTGGCAGTCAGAGGCTAGGGATATTCACAGCATGTGGTTGTACCCCAACTCTCTTGGCTAATAGCCATTGATGGACCTATCTTCTAGGAATTTACCTAATTATTTTAAACATTATTATAGTTTAGCTTTGACCACATTCCCTTGCAATGAGTTCCACGAGTTGACCATGAATTGTGTGAAGAAGTATTTCCTTCTGTTAGTTTTCAGCCCATTGCCTATTAATTTTACTGGATGACCCTGGGTTGTGTTGTATATATCCTTCCTCCCTTCATCATCTCTTTTCCAAGCTGAAAAGTCCCAGTAATTTTAATCTCTCCTCATATGGAAACTGTTCCACGCCCCATTATTTGTTGCCCTTTTCTGTATCTTTTCCAATTCTAATATATCTTGTTTGAGATGGGGTGACCAAATATGTATGTGGTATTCAAGGTTTGTTCTTACCTTGGATTTATATAACAGTATTATATAATGTCTTATAATATATGCCTTTCCTAATAGATTGTAAGATTCAGTTAGTTTCATTTGATTGCTGCTGAAACATTGAATGGATGTTTACAGAGAACTATCCACAGTGAGTCCAATATCTCTTTTTTGAGTGGTAACAGCTAGTGTAGATCCCATCATTAGGATCCCAACTGTGTGTACAGTTGGGATTATATTTTCTAACATGCACAACTTTGCATTTGCCAATATTGAATTGCATCTGCCCTTGACCAATCACCTGGTTTTGTGAGATCCTTTTGTAACTCTTCACATTCTGTTTTGGGATTAACTGTCTTGAGAAATTTTGTATTGTCAACACATTTTGACACCTCACTGTTACGCCTTTTCCCAGATAGTTGATGAATATTTTGAACAACGCTGATCCCAGTACAGAATCCTGGGGGATGCCACTATTTATCTCTCTCTATTCTGAAAACTGACCATTTTAGTCATTGGACCCTTTCTCTCCCATTACTGATCCAATGGCGGTCTTTCTCTCTTATCTCAGTAAATAAATGTAACCCTTCCTAGTGACTTGGAACTATGGATATAATAAAGTGTAGTGGCTTCCGCAGTTTAGCACTCAAATGGCTCTCAGAACCAATCACTCCTGCACGTTCTAGAGCCAAGAAAACAAATGGTCACTCAATTAAATCAGGGCCGAATGAGGATATGCCTTTTCTGTAAATAGGAAAATCTTATGGCTTACCCATCAGTGATTAGATAGGGATTGGAGTAGAGGGGGACAACCTACAGCCTTTGGGCTGAATCCAGTCTGCCAGTCATTTTTAATGCAGTCTTTGAGACCCTGCTGGAGAGTGATGTTTGGGGCTTGCCTTGACTCCATGGGGCTTCTGGAGACAGCTGTCTGTCCCCTTTCCAGCTTCTTGCACTACCACAGCTCCAAGTGCCACTGAGCAGCTTCCCTTGGCGGGGAACCATGGCCACTGGAAGCTGCAGGGGTGGCACTTGCAGATAGGGAGCAGTGCATACAGCTGCCTGGCCATACCTGTATGTAGGAGCTAGCTGAATGGGGGACATACTGCTACTACCAGGAGCTGCTAAAGGAGATAAGTGCAGCCCTGAGTTCCCTCCCACCCTCTGAACACTTTGATCCCATCCTAGACTACCCTCCTGCACCCAAACCCCTCATCACCAGCCCAGCCCTAGAATCTACATCCTCAACAGAGCCCTAACCCCTCCTCCAGCCCCTGCCTTGCTCCAACCTAGAGTCCCCTCCTGTCTGCTAAACCTCTTGGACCCAGCTCAGAGCCCTCTGCTGCACCCCAAATCTCTCATCCCCTCCCTGCCTCAGAGCATGTACCGTAGGCTGGAGTCCTGACACCCTTCCACACTCCAACCCCATTTTCGTGAATAGTCATGGCCCTCCATATAATTGCCATACCCTGATGTGGCCCTCCCCCCAGGATTAGAGAAACAAAAAAAAATTATTGCAAAAGGCCTTTTTTCTTTCAGTCTCTTTATGTGGCTAGTGATATAACTCTGCTGGAGAAGGTTCTAATATCATTGGCATAAAAATTAACTGGAGGCTTCAGTGTTTCTGATTGTAAGTTGTGTACAAACCAGAGGTGATGTGTAGCTTCCTGGACTGTGCTAATGAATGCAGTGAATGGATAATTTAAAGAATGATTGGAAAACACACTACATTTGTGACTTTCTGCCAATATAGCAGTGGGCTGGAATGATTTAGATTTCTCCAACAAGTGTAGGGGTGGGCAATAATTTTTGTCCGGGGGCCACTTCAAAAATTTGTGAAGTAGCCCCAGGCCACACCAGAAGGGGTGGGGCCTAAACAGGAAGAGGTGAGGCCCAAACAGGAAGGGAGCAGGGCTGCCCAGCCCCTTAGCCCCCCCCTTCCCACTAGGCACCCGTGCCCTGGAAGAGGCTTGGCATGTTCTCCAAGCCCCAGGCTGCTACCCCCCCCACCTTCTGAGGCCCTAATTGGCATGGGGGTGGGGGGAGCAGCAAGGCCTTCGTGGGCTGGATCTACCTGCTTGGTGGATCTCTTTTGCCCACCTCTGAACAAGTGAGGAAAAAAAATTAGACATCAATAATAGAGTAGAATAAATTCTTTCCACATAAGGATACAACTGTCTGTCTTCATTCTCCTGTGTGTATCAATGTTTTTTTTCCAAAAACTTATCCTTTAATTTCTATATGCATATATTTCAAACATAATTCATGAAAGTTGTTCCTCTCATTTTCTGCTTAAGCAGAAATATGTTTGATCTGAGTCACATCCTTGTTTGTATTTGTTTGACTGGCTGTGAAATATGGCCTGAATACATGGCTAGGCCAAGATCTGTAACTGAATTACAGCCTGTGCAACCCCACTGACATGAATGGGATTGCTCAGGGTGTGAGTCATGTGGATTGCTGTCATTATTGGCTTTAACACATTCAGTGCTGTTCTTCATTGTCACTACTGTATGGCAGTGCATTATAGCAACACCCTGCCAAGTGCCTACAGTGAAAGTTACCAGTTACTAACCAGACCATTAGTAAGCTCCTCAGAGTAGGGACCTTTATCTTCTTAGATATATGCAAGGCATTAAGCACTCATTTGAAGTGTATAAAATAACAATAACAACTAGTTCAATAAATACTCACATAGTAAGTGGAACAGAGCTGTAAGTGACAGGAAGGCAGAATTTAACTGTTAATCCATTTAGTTGTTGAAGAACAATAGATTGTGGTGAGATAGAAAGTGCAAAAGGAAATGGTTGTATCTGATTTCTGATTTCAGTCTGCTCTCCTGGGTTTTATGGACATCGTTGTAGCCAAGCATGCCCCCATTGTGTGCACAGCAGCGGTCCCTGCCATCATGTAACTGGACTTTGTGACTGCTTACCTGGTTTCACAGGAGCCCTCTGTAATGAAGGTAGATGCTGTAATAGAGACCATTGCAATATATACAGTGACCAAGTGTAGCATTTTTTTTCATTCCATGCATTCTAGAATTATCAGATCACATTACCCAAAAGTGGAAAGTGGCTTTTGGTTTTCTACATGAAGTTTGTAAATGTAAAAACTGAATCCAATTGGTCAAAAAGATAGACTCTACATTTGAAAATTACCTTTCTGCTAATTCTGGCAATATCATATTCTTTATCAAAAGAAACTTCTTTGTAAATGAAATAAATATATAATAAATAAAATAAATGCATTTGACTGAATTTATAGCAGCATTATACTAAATAGGAATTTTCTTGATCTAAGACATCAAATATTAGGAAACAATACAAATGTAACTTACTGAAAAGTCCACTAAAATTTTTAACAGTGTGTCCCAGTGGGAGATTTGGCAAGAATTGTGCTGGAATTTGCACCTGCACGAACAATGGAACGTGCAATCCTATTGACAGATCTTGTCAATGTTACCCTGGATGGATTGGCAGTGACTGCTCTCAGCGTAAGTACTGTGCCTTTTTTTCTTTCTTTCTTGAGAGATCTTATTAGAACAGTTAGACTAAGTTCAGTTCCTTTTAATTTTCTTCTTGATGTTGAAGAAGCACTTTGGAATTGACTGATAAATGACAAGAGTTTATATCAGTACCTAGAATTTGTGTGCTATAAGAAAAAGAGAAGAACAAGGTTAAATAAATAACATAAATAAATAAGGACTCCTATGTTATTATATTTATCATCATTACATTTCAAATGCCATATAAAAGCCATTTTAACATTTGCACTGCAGTTTCATTTACCATAAAATTCAAATGTCATAATTAAGTAGTTATGCACTTCCTTCTCTCTATGTACATGGCTTCCATCATAAGAGCGCAGTGAACACCCCCATGAAAATTAACAAATTTATCTTCAGGACATACTTTAAATTATGGAAGTTATTGTTATCAATATCAGTGAAAGTCTATTCCTTGTTGTTCTGCCTGTAGATTAATCTGATCATGCACCATTGAAGTCAATGAGAAATATCAAAATGTTATTTTTCTTTTGAATCCATTATTATATTAAATATGGGCTTCCTACTGTCCCTTATGCTGGGGTTATCTGAATCAGTAATCATTGGCATTAGCCTTCTGACACATAAATTCATGGGTAGCAAAGCTTATCCCTTCTTTCAAGTAGGAATAAGGGATCTTCCGGAAAAGGGCTTATTTTCTGCAAGATCCCGTCTAGACTGGTGCTTTTCTCCGGCAAAACCCCGAGCCGGAAAAAAGCGGCAGCCATGTTCATGCAAATGCCGTGGGGGATATTTACATCCTCCGCGGCATTTGCAATTCCGAAGTGTCTCATTAGCATCCCTTTTATGGAAAAGGGTGCCAGTGTAGACACAGCCATATAGTTTGCAAATGCAAACCTTTAGTAAAATATACAGTAGCTGACCAGCCTCTAAGAAGCTAAGTAGGTCTCTGGACAACCAAAGCATTATACAATCATGCGGAAAACTCTGTCTTACCCTTAACACAGTCAAAATCAAGGATCAGGCTCAAGTGCCTGATTTGTTTTTTCTCTCCTGTAATATATTAAGTCTTTGTTTCCACAAGACTGTATATAAATTCAGAAAAGTAACTTAAGGCTAATTATTTCACATTGAAAAATGACAAAACTCTTTACGTAGGCTAAAAATAGAAATTTGGAAGAGTAATTAATCAAAAAATAAGAGGTCATGTTTACGGCACTCTCTGCTCTCAGTGGGATCTGATTTATTCATATATCCATGTAATTTTTCTTTTGCTACAGTGCTATTTACATATTATAATTAGCATTTGGGGAGACATTTTACAGTTCTTTCTATTAATACCATTAGATACCAAATTCATTCAATTTACCATTTCCAAAACCGCACCAATATTATTTGAAACCACAGTTATGTGTGCAAAAACCTTCATTTATTTTATTGTTTACAGTGATTTGTTTGTTGGAAGGATTGTATTGATTCGTGGTCTGATGGGAACCAATAAATAAATCAGAAGCCTCAGGTCAAGAAACTAAAGTTAAACCATGGAATCACTGATTCACCCTGCTTTGGCCTTAAAGTTACATTTTGGGAGAGGAATACAGGCTACAAATATATTTTTTCTCTCACCCTGTTTATTCTCCTCCTATGCTAGGATTGGAATTTGCAATATCTCCATCTAGTTCAGTAATATTCAGGAAAGGTGAAAATGTTTAGTCTCTGGAAACCAGTGAGAAATCAAGAAACTTGATTTATATGACTGCCTCTTGTGTACTATGAGAAACCAGTGATAATGGCTACATAGTGTTGCACTGAGATGAGGATCTCACCCATTGATTCTTCTTTACAGTTAATGTTGTTTCATTTGTTCTTATCAAGGGTAAAACACTAGTTAGGTTCAAGAAAAAACTAGGGAACTCTCTGGTCAAAATTGACCAGACTGAAGAAGGTAGAAAAAGAACTGTTTTAGCATTTGCATGTTATGCTGCTTTGTGTCTTTGCCATATAATAAGATTAATTAATTGATCTGGGATATTTCAGCTTGCCCACCTGCTCATTGGGGTCCAAACTGTATTCACACCTGCAATTGCCATAATGGAGCTTACTGCAGTGCCTATGATGGGGAATGCAAATGTACTCCAGGATGGACTGGCCTTTATTGTACCCAAAGTAAGTGATTCCTATGATCTGCTCATATTGTTGTATGATTATAAATTAATAATAGTATTTTCCTTTATTTCTTTTCACTCCCTTTTTGCTCAGTGATTTCCCAATAGTGTTATGCCATTCTAATCCAGAGGATGTATCGTTTGTTGCCTCTGCTGGTATGAGCGATGAAAATTGTAGCCACCTATATTTCCTCATGGGGAAATCACCTTTGGAGGAGGATAGGTGATGGTCACAGCTGCCTTCCCTTGGAGTTTCCTGCAGAGGAAGGCAACATTCAGTTACAGCCAGGAGCCCATAGGAGTCTCAGCGGTAGAAGCTTGCCCGTGAATGTGTTGAATGAATGTTTTTCCAGGTGCCCAGCCGTGGTAGCATTTGCTAGATGTGAGTCCCTGGCAAAGAGACATTTGCAGTTAACATGTACCTTTCCCCACCCAAAACCTCCTCTGGGAGGAATTCTGCCACTGGGTACTCTGCTCCCAAGATTACATCAGCGTAACCCAGGACTAAATCAAGTCTTGTGAAGCGAATAGCTTCTTATTTGCTCATGACAATGATTCATAACAACACATTCCTTTTTTCAGCAGTGTTAGAAAGTGATTTTATTCCAGTCGCCTATCTCTCTAGTCATCAGGTTACAGGGAACAAGCTTTACCAACACATAATTTAGGTACTGGCATGACTAGCTATGTTACCTAGAACCAGAACTAGAACTTCATCAGGTTGCTGTTTTATACTCTTCTCTAGAATTGTTTTTGTGTGACTAATACATTTAATACCTGAGATCTTTCTCCAAGAACTTTACGTTAATTAATTAGATATTAGAAGTGCTGTGACTGGAAATCTTCATATGAGTGCTGAGCAATAGTTCACACAAAGTTTGAGAGAATTTTTTTTCTTTTCTTGTGGGGCTAATACACACCATCACAAGTTGGGGCAGGAAAGAAATGTCTCACAGTCCCATATAAAGGGTGTCTCACATCTTGGGACTATGTGGTCCAGTGTCTGCATTGTTTACTGAGTCCCTGTAACAATCTCCTCCATTTGCAGTAGTGTGGCCTAATGAGCAGAGTCAGTAGAGCAATCCCCTGCAGTCAGGGGTAGTGCAGCGTAATGGGCAGAGTCACTATACAGCATGCCAGGCCCGCACCCCAAAGTGAGGGTAGCCAGAGTAGGGGAACCCAGGCCCTCCCTTTCCACTGGGTCCTGACCCAGGGCCCTGTTGGTGGTATACTCACCTCCCACCAAATCAGCGCGGAACCACCACCAACACACCAAGCCCATAACCAGTTCTAAACACCATTTCCCCCCTGTAGTCCACTGGGTCTCTTCCTGTCTGAGCTAATGGAGTCTGTGGTGTCCGTGGTCTGGTAGTCTCATCACCTTATGCAACATCCTCTGTCTGGGTGCCTACATATGGTCTCATTTGGCTGGCCTCCACGTATCAGAGTGCAAGTGGTGCATTTGCTAGAGCTCCCAGTGCACCTCCTCCTCCTCCAGCAGTCAGCTATTATTTGGCTTATGCTTAAGTCAGGTATACTTATAATCTTTTATCTCAGAAAAGTACCACTGAAATCTGCTTTGCATACAGTGCTTTTTACAGTCAATAGCGCAATGTCAGAGTGGCAGGAGATAACACATATTATGGCGCCATATGGATAACACTGAGGAATACAGTCACTGAATTGGTTCAGTTGTCAGCTATCATGGTTCTTTTGCTTCCTGCTGGTAAATAACAATCTCTTTGCAGTGATACATCTTCTTCATACTGACATGGCACCTTTGTGAGGAGCTGGGATACAATATTTTTACTCGTTAATGTTTCAACATCAACTGTGCAGAAAATATGTCCACAGATTCATTCATCATCTAGCGGTCTTCCTGGACTCTTGCATGAAGTGCCCCCTACTCGCTCCTCCTTCAGATTTCTCCTTAAAACTTCTTCCAGGGGTCCTTCCTGCCTACCTTCTTATCACCAGTAATTCCTGCATCCTCTCTTTCCTGTTACTTTGTCCTGCCTTTTTGTCTAATTGAGAGCAGAGAAGCTCTTCATTTATTATATGTATAAAGCCATGTGTAAATTAGTGGCACTATTGAAATTATATTAATAAGTAATAATAATACTTTTATATTCCTCATGGAAAACTCTCTTCTCTTATTTTTCCCTTTGCATTGCAGGGTGTCCTTTGGGATTTTATGGAAAAGATTGTGCATTAATATGTCAGTGTCAAAATGGAGCTGACTGTGACCACATACTGGGGCAGTGCACCTGCCGCACAGGATTCATGGGGAAACACTGCGAACAGAGTGAGTAGGGAGCAGAAATTATTCGTGCATGGTAGGAACAAACGCAAACCTCTCTAGACTGAATACTGTGATTGTGAGTCCTTACTTAGCCAAAATGACCCTGACTTTAGTACTGACTTTACCTGAGTAAGGACCACAGGATTTGGACCTAACACTATCTTGTGTGATGTTAAGGTTGTTTCTTCATCTCATGAAAGCCTGAGAGATTAATAAGTAAGACTGATAAACTATATATACATCTTTTTGATTGTTTATTTACATTTACATCTACACTTAAAAGCTCCTGTCTGAAGCTACCTATAGTAGTGATATAGTATCTCTATAGTCTTTGACATAATATTAGAAAAACATACATAATCGTACAAAACCAACAAATTTATCCAAATAACTACTGCAATCATAACACCATGATGAAAATCAATAGCCAGAAGACTGAGAATCAAATTCATCTCTGGAATAGTTTTGTGTAGGTCGAAAGAGTTACCAAGGATGAGCATATAAGGCACATTATATTTGCTATATATAGGGCTTGATTCTGCTTTCACACACATTAGTTTCACCTCAGTTTAACTTCATTAGCTTCAGTGGAGTTATTCAGGAGAGAAAAGTGAGTCCCAAAGGCTCTCACTTATGCTGGCCTAGTTTTTGTCAGGAGAATGGTGGGTTTTTGCCTAATTCATCATATTACCCCAGAAACTGACCCCTGTTCAGCGGATCAACACAAGGCTTGCAAACCACATAAATCTCATTTAATCCCAATTCTGGGTGCTTAATTGGCTTGAGTGGTACATATACATTTTGTAGTCTCTCTTCATAAGGCTCAATTTCAAAATGTGTAGAATAAGCTTCCTATTAGGTATAACAAATGTTAGTTTTGTAAAATTAACATTTTGTAGAGCTAGTAAAAAATGTTGACATAACAGTTTTCTGTCAGAAAATGAAGTTTTATAAAAATCTTGATGTTTTGCAGGAATGTTATGATTTTGATGGAATTTTCAATGGCAAAATGTCAAAACAAACCATTCTGGCTTTCTTCTTTCATTTAAATCTTGTCAAGTATCATCTGGATAAGATGAAAATGTTTTGTTTTGACTTTATCATATTGATTCATATTGTTTTGAGTTTTATATTACATTAAATATTAAATATTGCATGTTCATATAAATTATACATTTTTACATTATTTTATACTTTTTAAAATGCATATATATACATTTTATACATTTTGACATTATTTAAGCAAAATGTGTTCATGTTAAGTCACAGAATTGTTTCCAAATTTCAGCTCTATGAAAAATTTCAAAATTTTGGCTTTTTGTTTTGATTTGGAACAAAATCAGATATTTAAATTTTAAAATTTTCCATGTATTAGATATTCCATTTATTGATCAGCTCTAATTTTGGGAGAAATAAAACATGGACTTAAATTACAATAATCAAACCAACAATCATTAAGAAAACAAGCTAGTTTTCCACCCTCCTCTTCCCAAAAATTTAAGCTCCGAAAGATATCTCCATTCCTGTTTGAAAGAATCACACTTCTGTAATCCAGTTTTGTTACAATAAGGTAACAAGCCATAAATGTATGCAAGTGGTAATACCAAACAAACCCAAAGCTACCAGTAAAATGACACTAATAACATGATTAAAGAGACACTTACAATCAACTGTATATTACTGCTCACAAGTCTTTGTGTGGTCAGTTTAATTCATGAAAAATTCTCATAAGTAGCTTACTTCTTATAACTTGTTCACATCTTTCATGTTCTAGTTTTACTTATTTTACACAGCATGGCATGACAGTATCCCGTGAGCAGCTTAAATCAAATTCAGACCTAAAATAAAATTGTATTCAGGTCTGAATCTGGCATTCTATGCACAGAGGGATTCACAAGAAGATTTATGAGCCTAACTACAACTTCAGGCGTACGTCTTGACTACAGAGTTTTGTCAACAGAAGTTTTGTCGACAGATACTGTTGACAAAGCTTCTGTCGACAAAGACTGTCTAGACTACATCCAGTTCTGTCGACAAAGCAAGCCTCTTTGTCGACATAACAGTGTGGACGCAAAGGACAGTGTAGATGCAGTAATGCCTTCTATCGACAGAACTCTGTTGACAAAAGGCGTTATTCCTCATAGAATGAGGTTTACATACGTCGACAAAACTGCTGAGTTTTGTCGACTTTATGTCAACATAACTCAAAGGCAGTGTGGACGCAGGTATAGTTTTGTCGACAAAAGTCCACTTTTGTCGACAAAACCCTGTAGTCTAGACACACCCTAGGTGTCTCACTTTCAGACACAGACCCCCACTGGGATTCATAAAACCTCTGCTCAGCTGCTCCTGAACTTGTAGGTACCTAAACTCATGCAGCACCTACATTTTTTTCAGTAAAAGTTCTCTAAGTGCTTCTGCTTTTGAGCATGTGCACTGCAGCCACATGCCAGGTGCCTGCATGCATAACCCCCAGAGCACTGCATAAGCCTAGCATAGATAGACGTTCCTCCACTACAGTCTACAATATAGACAAGCTTACACAAAATAGCGAAAGAGTGGAAAGAGTACAACACAGTGGTGCAGTGAGAACCCCCTGGTTTAATTCCTCCCCCTACCTGAGGGGGAGAGGAGGTTTTAACCGGGATCTGCTGCTTCCCAGGTGAGTGCCTTAACCATGATCCAGAATTCTTCTCATGCATGCTTGCTCGCTACACAACATCGAAAATGTTCCACTGTGGCTAAATAATGAAAGAATTATTGAGCCAGAGAGAGAGAAAACAAACATGAGAATGACTTGAATCAAAGGTCTTTCACTGAGCTAAAAGTTATGAAGGAGCTCCTCCATCCCCTACCCCTACTTCTTGTTAACATGCCACATGCACCTAACACCAAGAGAGAGTTTGAAGCTAAGATTTGCAAGCAGAGTGAGAATCCTCTGTGTAGCCCAGACTTGTGTCAATTTCTGATAAAGGGGTTGGGCTTATCGCCCATCACTTCCCTTGCATTTCTTAGGCTTTGTGAATCCCAGTGATTTCCTAAGTCCCTAAAAGTTAGGCCTGGCAATACTTAGCTTCACCACCTACCTTTCTTTGTGTATTTAGACCACTGTGCCTGGTTCTTTATTGCTATGTACCATAAATAGCCTTTTAAACCTGTGCCATTGTGAGTTGAAGACAATTTACATTCATTTTACATAGATGTAAAAAAGGATAAGGGCAGTGGGAAAATCAGGCCCAGTTATCAACATTTGACCATAATGTTTTGTTTACTTCTCCGTATAGGACATCATTTTAAACAAGATATTTTCTTCCCTCCTAAAGTTCCAGCGCTAATAACACACTGCCACCTGCTGGTCACTTTTATAAATGTAGCTGCTTTACAATGGCAAATCTTTAGGGTGCGTAAAGATACATGCGTGTATCTGTCATGTTAAAATACATGCGTGTATTTGTCATGTTAAAATATTGCAGTAGCATTTACTGCACACACAATTAATAGTCGTAGGTTCAAATATGAAGATGTGCATTTGATTTTTTTATTATTTTGCACAGAGTGTCCTCCAGGTACATATGGTTATGGCTGCCGGCAAATATGTGACTGTCTGAATAACTCAACTTGTGACCACATCACAGGAACTTGTTATTGCAGCCCAGGCTGGAAAGGAGCAAGGTGTGATCAAGGTAATGACATGCAATAAAATGATTATGAAAGTATTGTAAATGTTGATGGATTAAATTCTCTTAGATGCCGTATATATATAACCAATGAATCCCCTTTGGGATATGTATTTAAATTATTCACTTGATTGTTTATTAATAATATTTATACTTGTGAATTTTCAGACATCAGATAGCTTATTGATATCTTACTGGAGGAAGGAAGGACTGTGATTTAGGATCATATGCTTGTTTTCAATACAGCACATGATGATATCTTTTGCAACATTACACTCGATAAAGCCATACAAAACTGCCACTGGGTCAAGTGCTTTGTATAGTGTGTATTTCTTGGCCAGAGGGTTGAATGCTATTTTTTTAGCTAAGGAAATAGTCAAATAAAAATTGAGTATTTGCATGTATTATTGTGGCTAAATTAGGCTTAGTCTAACTCTCCTAAGGCTTTCGGTATAACTAAAATTTCTAAACATGAACCCAGTAAGAAAGCTTTAAAAATAGAAGTCAGTCTTCTGTTCTTGGTTTTATAATTCGTGTATGCCTTTATGCCATGTGTTTTCATTTCTTCTTGTTTTCCAGCTGGGGTGATCATAGTAGGAAACTTGAACAGTTTAAGCCGCACCAGTACTGCTATCCCTGCTGATTCTTACCAGATTGGGGCTATTGCAGGAATCATTATTCTTGTCCTGGTTGTCCTCTTCTTGCTAGCACTATTCATCATTTATAGACACAAGCAGAAGGGGAAAGAAACAAATATGCCAGCAGTTACCTATACACCTGCTATGAGGGTCATCAATGCGGATTATACTATTTCAGGTAGGAGTAGATCTGTATGAGAGACATGACTAAGAAAATCCCAGCCAGAGAAAAAGGAACTCAAAAATTGGTAGTTTTGTTGCTCAATTAACTTTTACAATTAAATGTCCTCTCAGACTTGAGGAGGTACAAATGGCACCTCTCTGCATCAGTAAGTGCTACTACAAGCAGGGAAATTTATATTTCAGGGAGGGTAGTTTGGGTTTCTAGTGCCACCCTTCCTTGCGAGTTCCACCAGTGGGAGTCGTTTTAATCTACATGGGGAATGGCGTTCATAGGTTCCCCATATTGAAGGAGATTCTCAAGGATCCACTGAATTTGTCTATCCCCAACTGCTGCAGGCTGCCCTTCCTGTCTAGCCAGCAACTCAACTTTTCAGAACACATTGGCTTGTATGTGTGCCCCTTTCAGCCCCACATGGTAGCCCCTTTCAGCAATCAGTGGCACATGGTCATTGTCTGAGCGAATCTTTCTGAGTGTCTATAGCTGTGCACTGTTGGTGTGTTGCCTCTTTAATCTATATATTTAATATATAAAGCCTACCTATGCTAATAGAAATGTGTACTGTTGGACAAAGGAAAATGCTGACCACATTTGCTGACCACATACAATGCAACTTTGCTTTCTAGAATATGTCACACAAATTGTATCTCAAAACATGTTTAGGAGTTAAGTAATACAGTGATGGTGTTAATGTTTCAGTTCCTCTGCTAACTACATTTAAAGAGTTTAAGAAGGACTGAAAGGATATGGTTTCAACTGAGATTTTAAATGAAATAGATTAGCATGAGACAAGTGAAGAGAGTGGGGAGAAGAGAGGAAGTGGGAGTCATGGATTAGGCTGGATCAAGGCCATGAAGGGTTTTAAAACCAGGAGGGTAGTTTTAGTTAGGCCCGTGGATTTGTTCCAGAATTGGTCTGACATTGTCATATGTTTTTGTAGGCATGAAACATAAGGCAGTGGCATTCTGTACTCCTGCAATGGCATGCATGAGTTGGGGAAGCGAGGGGTTTTGGGAGGCCAGGAGTTGAAGTGGTCCGAGCAGATGAGGGTATGTTTTTAAAACACGACCAAAGAGGAATCATGGTAGTAGCAACACACCCAGTGTTGTACACCTTCTGGTCGGCACTTTTGAAAACTGGTCAATGCCAGGGTTGCAAACAATGGAGGCAAAAAAAAGTGAAGGGGTGAAGTATCCAATAAGTATCTTCAACAGGCAACGGCATGTTCCTCTAAACTGTTTATTTGCTTCTCCCTTTCTTTTCAGAAACCATTCCTCACACTAATGGTGGGAACGCTAATAGCCACTACTTCACCAACCCTAGCTATCACACCCTAACACAGTGCACAACCCCACCTCATGTCAACAACATGGACAGGAGGACCCTTGCTAAGGTAAAACAAGAAAATGGTGGTGGCCATTATGCAGATCAACAGGCAGTATGAACCCAAAGTTTTCTTTTCAAACATGGTACACCTCTCACCAAGTCATTTTCATTAAGGCTTTTATTTCTTAAATTACCTCATTGGGCTTAGTTTTGTTTTCTCCAGTTATCATCTTGTGCAAACGTTAGTGATCTAAAATCAGCTGCAATCAGTATTATCTTTTGTTTATTTGTTTGAAATAGTCAAAAAACAATCAGCTGTTTGTGAATCTTAAGAATGTTGATCCTGGAAAACGGGGTGCAGTCCTGGACTACACAGGAACACTTCCTGCAGATTGGAAACATGGAGGGTACCTCAATGAGCTCGGTAAGGAAACAAAGAGAAAGGGTGCTGCATATTACCCTGTGTGAGTCTGAGGGATGTCAGAAAAGAGATTTCCCCTGTGAGGTGTAGGTATAATCTGGTCTTCTTCTGTGAAGTTAGCTAACATTGTTAGTGGTGCTAGCCTTGCCAAATTGATAGTAGAGGGGGCAAGGCCATGTCCATGCTCCAAAATTGACCAATGGTGCAGTACCCACAGAGAGAGGAGTATATTAAAGACAGTCAAGTTAATTTTATGGAAAATAGATCTTGTCATTTTTTGAGATTCCAGCTCTGGCTGATAAATGTAATTGTGTAAATGTAATATACTTAAGACTTTTGTAAGGTATTTAATTTAGATCTGATCTATATTGGTCTACATTATGCCTGGTCTACTTGATGGCCTGTGATATACAGAAGATCAGATTAAATGATGAATGGTTCCTTCTGGCCCTAAACTCCATGAATCTAGACAGTATGTAGGTGCACAGTCATACCATTTCTTCAGTGTATCTGTATTCTTATTGTAGGGGTATTTCTCCTATGAGACAGAAATTAACCATGACACAATTCTGTAGAGATTTTGAATGGTTGCCCAGAGAATTGCAATTGAATTTACAAAATGTTCTGTGTTTTTGTGACTCTCCTTTGGCATAGGTGCTTTTGGACTTGACAGAGGATATATGGGAAAATCCCTGAAAGGTGAGTTTTTATTTTCTGAACCAATTAAATAAAAACATACAGATATTTCATTTAAATGTTCCATTTAAAATTATTTTTTGTTTCTGTGGAAAGAGAGTATGTAATGTTCAGGCCTCTGTGTAAGCTGATGTGCTATCACACTAGCTCTGGAAGCAAACAGTACAGTTCCCAAATCTTTTGCACCTATGCCTCCTGGCACAATTTACTGGTTAAACAGAAAACTCATGAGTAGCACCAAAACAAAGTAACTCCATTGACTAAAGTGGGCCACGGTTCCTAGAGGCTTTTTCTTTGCCTCTCTCTCTTTCTGGAAGGAGGATACATCCTGTGGCAGGCAGGTAACCCGTTACCCTTTTCTAGTTGTTTCCCCATATCACATTCCAGTTACCCTGGGAGGAGAGTAAAGCTTTGCATGAGGGCTGTGCCTTTTGTGCACAGCTGAGCTTTCCTGCATGAACTGAAGACTTCCGGAAGACCTGTTTTCTGGTTTGGCAGTAATAAGACAAAAAAAAAACAACCTCCTTTATATGTCAGTGAGCTGTTTAAAGGTCAAGGACACAGCAACATGCTCAATATTGCAATGAAAATTAAATACAAAAATGCTATAGTGTTTGAAATTATGGACAATCCATTCTTGTCTGTGGTTGCCACTATGTCCACGGATGAACTTGCAGTGCTTTGGCACTATGTGAGCACATTAACAGGATATCTACCGTATACCCTTCAGAAAATGTTTATTCCACTACTAGAAGATTAAGTTGCAGAAATGGCCAGATCTGTTATATTATTCAATCTACAGCCAAACAGCTATAACTGGTCTTTTCATATGTTCACCTTTGCAACTGCCAGGCATGTCTTTGCCACTTACATCAGGATTATGCAACTGGAACATTATCTGTATAGGGCTGAGCTTAGATCCATCTGGATATTAAAGATGGTGCAGAATGTGATGGCCCACTTGGTAGATTTAACCTGTGCACCATGTTTTGCACTGGCTGGCTGTGAATTTCCAGAAGAAATGTAAGGTTCTGTTTTTGACCTTTAAAGCTGTAAATGACTTAGTACCTGAGGCTGTATCTCAACTGCATCCCTTTTTTTCAATAAAAGATATTTCAATAGATATTACAAATGAAGCTGAGATTTAAATATCCTGTGCTTCATTTGCATAATGGCAGCTGCTGCTTTTTTTTCAAAACGGGGCTTTTTCGAAAAAAAAAGCAGTTTACATGGGGCATTTTTGACAGAAATACCTCGTTTTGAAAGATCCTGTACTCCCCGGTTTCATTTGCAATATCGACGTGCCTAATCTACATCCCTTTATTGAAAAAGGGATGTAGTTTAGATACAGTCTGAGAAATACACTCTTTCTCCATGGTATACCACCAAGCTGAGATTTGCAGATGTGGAGTCCCATTAGTATAAATGGGCAGGATAGCTGACATGGCATAGTCTGTCAGGACACTACAGATATGGAATTTGCTTCTCTTCTTGGTCTGAGAATTCTGATTACCTGCAAGTCTCACCAAAAGGCTCATTTTTTTCCAGGCATCTGAAAATGGGGGAACTAAGTTTGCGGTCAAGAGCAGCTATATCATAGAGAATTTGTATAATACAATATAATTTAATTGAAGGAACACATATTTAAGTATGTGACATTGTGTTGAAGTAAAGGATTCGCTGAACGTTCTTCAGAGATTTTGGGGTACTTCATTTGAGATTCCTTAAAGGGGCCTGGTTCTTGAAAAGTTCTGACCATACACTCTCTGGGTATGTCTACACTACCCTCCTAGTTCGAACTAGGAGGGTAATGTAGGCATACCGCATTTGCAAATGAAGCCCGGGAAATTCAAATCCTGGGCTTCATTTGCAAATGCGGTATGCCTACATTCCCCCGCTAGTTCGAACTAGCGGGGGAATGTAGGCATACCGCATTTGCAAATGAAGCCCGGGAAATTCAAATCCTGGGCTTCATTTGCAAATGCGGTATGCCTACATTCCCCCGCTAGTTCGAACTAGCGGGGGAATGTAGGCATACCGCATTTGCAAATGAAGCCCGGGAAATTCAAATCCTGGGCTTCATTTGCAAATGCGGTATGCCTACATTCCCCCGCTAGTTCGAACTAGCGGGGTAGTGTAGACATACCCTCTGAAAGTCAGATTCCTTAAGGCATCTTCAATCACCCAAAATCAAGGGGCCTGCACTATGAAGCCCATACCAGTAGAGCTAGGTGCTGAAGCTATGCTAACATAATCCCATAGTGTAAATGAAGCCTACTCCAAAGGAGGAGTTATTTCCATCAGTTCAGGAATATGCCCTAGTGACAGTAGCTAGGCTAACAGAAGCATTCTTCCATCAACATAGGGGCATCTATGCTGGGGATTATGTGGACATATCTGTGGCACTCAGGGATGTGGTTTTGTCAACTTAACTTTTAAGTGTAGACCAGACCCTAGTAGTCAGCTCTGAAAGTCTTGGCTCCAAATCTGCAAAGAAAAAGAAACTCTCACAATGTCTTCCCAGCCCAAGAAAACTCTTTGCATTCCAAAACTTTATCACTCCTTTAGTCACACCCCAAATGGACTAACCCATTGACCTCTGCTCATTCTTTCCTCCTCCAACCTTACCACTATGGAAATCGATGGAAAACAGCTGACTCTTAGCATGTCTTGATGTTTACCAATCAAGGCACTGGCAGAACAAAGTGGCCCCTCACTAAAAGTACCTTGCCTCCAGCTCCTAGTTAGTATAGGAGTTGTCTATCAGTTCAACCCCTTCTGTAATTGTAATGTTTACTTATGTGTCATGTGTTCAGCACCTTCAAAGACACAAGTGTTCTAAAATTGTCAGTTATAGCCTGATCCTACAAATTATCCTTAGTACCAGAATCAACTTTAATGAGATAAGAACTTTGCAAAAGGAACTCAACCCAAGGCAAAATCAGGCCCATAAGAAGCAGAACTGGTGAAGTAACTATTAATCACTGTGTAAAACAAATTTGGGAAAATATTGTAACAAATTTCTATGTAGTTATTGATTTATGAGATACTGTGCAAAACTGAAAGTAGCTGATCTTCTTGGTGTGCAGTTTGTAGAACTGATGAATATTTTGCTTTATTTAGTCACAATATTTATGCTTATACATTATGCAGCATATTCAAAAGATTACAGTGCTATATTTTCTATTATCAGATTTAATGAAGAATTCAGAATACAATTTAAGCAACTGCTCATTAAGTAGCTCTGAAAATCCATATGCTACTATTAAAGACCCACCCACACTTGTGCCAAAAAACTCAGAATGCGGATATGTTGAAATGAAGTCACCGGCACGGAGGGACTCCCCATATGCAGAGATCAGCAACTCTGCTTCAGCCAACAAGAATGTCTATGAAGTTGGTAAGTACCAACCACATTGTTAGGCTGTGCATGATAAGGATACAGTGCGCGCAAGACTCTTCCTTTGAAGCTGTGTTTAGGCAGGTGAGTCCTCACCAGCCGGACAAGGGGTAAGGAACTTCTGTGGGTACAATCAGGCCCAGCTCAACCCCTTACGCTTGTCAGGCCTGAAGGTGGGCCCTTAAAAGGAAGGAACTCTGAGCAGTCAGAGTGGCACTCAGAACAAGCAGAGAGGGCTCAGAGTTCTGGAAATGAGGGCCCTGTGGCACTAACAGACTTTATTGCTTGCAAACCCTGCCTGCCCAAGCCTTTGAGGAAGCAGATGAGTTGGGCTGCTTCTATGTTGAAATTTCCCCCAGGATTTAGCCTTGATCTTTACTCACATTGGGTATGTCTACACTACCCTCCTAGTTCGAACTAGGAGGGTAATGTAGGCATACCGCACTTGCAAATGAAGCCCGGGATTCCACGAGGAGTAACGGTAGTTCGGACTAGGAACCCTAGTCCGAACTACCTAGTTCGTGCCGCGTGTAGACTAGGTAGTTCGGACTAGGCTTCCTAGTCCGAACTACCGTTACTCCTCGTGGAATCCCGGGCTTCATTTGCAAGTGCGGTATGCCTACATTACCCTCCTAGTTCAAACTAGCGGGGTAGTGTAGACCTACCCATTGAGAGTGGGAATGAGGCTGCCTGCAGGGAATGAAAGACTGCTTCCCTCGCCCTTACACAATGAAGGGAGTTAGTGAAATATTCTCCCCCCTCTTTTTTGGACTACTTTATATGTGCTGAAGGGGGTGGACTCACTGATGAGCACATACTACAGAGCTGTGACTGCCCAAACATAAGAGTTAACCAAGAGGGCTGCTCTCACTTCAAAAAGGTGACTTAAAGACATTAACTCTTCAGCACAGGCTCAACCAAAACAAAACAAAAAAAAAGATACACTTTCAGGGTCTATACATGGTAATCATTAGAAAAATCTTGTTCTTTTCAAACTTGTGAAGTGATTCACAGAGAAGATGGCTTCAAATACCATTGTTTCAGTTGTTTAAATAAATGCCATCTATCTAAATATCTCTGACAGAAAGCCATATTCTTGCCCTTCTTAAAGGAGCAATGGGACACATTGCTTAGCCTCTCGCTGGCACATTGCTGAGGCCTGGACCAGATTTTCCAGTCCTGAGTATGGTTAACCCTGGTGGGTAACAATGGCAGAAGAGCTCTGTGATTTGCAGACATTGTGTGTCCTGTGTCTCACACCTCATCCCTGTCCTCCTACCAGTAACTCTATAAATCCTGGGTTTTTTTCCATGGTGGGCCCTGAGGAGTTGTTACAGTCCTGAGAAAACTGGAAGAATATTTAAATGACTTACCTAAGGTCACAGACCAAATTTCATGACTGATGGTCCAATGCCTTAATAACAAGACCATGCTTCCTTTCTTAAGTCATACATAGTAGGCAGGCAACAAGATCACTATTACTTACTTGCTGGATTGAAATACTTTAAGATTTCAAATGTTTTGTTTTCTTTCTAATAGACAAGATCACAGCTTTTAAAAAAATCACAGCATTGCTGTGTATATAAAATAGAAGCAAAATAGTAGCTCACGATGTAGTTCTCTGTACATTGCTTAATTATTCTAAAGTTCATTAGCAACACGGATTTAAGTGATTCTGAAAAGGGATATGTACTGTATATTTTAGAATTCTCCTAACAGAGTGAACGATGCCCACATTGACTGTTACCTTTGCAGGAAGATGCTCTGAAAAAAAGTTGTTTAAAGTTTAATCAAAATTTCAAAACCATGTAGCTGCTACATACCTTGTAAGAACCTAACTCTCCCTTTCTGTTCTTGTGTGGAAATTTCACCCATGAGGGTGTCCATTATCTTGCTAAGGACTGTCTATTCCATGCTGTCTCTCTTTGGGGTCTCATGGAGAGTGGGATGTAGAAGGCTGGGACATGACTGATGAGTCTGTGTGAGAGAGAAAGACAAGTAGCTGCATAGTACTCTACGGTCTCTGCTTGAGGATTAGTGTGCAGATTTCCATGGGATGCCCAGGGCTGGCCCACAACATTTTGGCACCTGAGGCAGGGAGCTCAAATGACACCCCCATATGCACTAGCAGCAGACACAATTTTTTACACTCTGGGGCCTAGTGGTGCCCTGCCTCCCCTCTCCGCCCCTCTCCTCCCCCCCCACACACAGTCTGGCACCTGAGGCGGCCACCTCAATTCGCCTAATGGTATGGCCAGCCTTGGGGTTGCCTTGTACAATATCCAATATCCAGTGCTGAGGCTGTGCTCAAAAATCCAAAGTTTGGCAGCAGGTTTTAGCGGGAGTTTATGTAATCCCAACCGATAGAATCAAACCTAGGACCTCTGCAGCTTAGTGCATGAGCTAAGTCTGTAAAGCAGTCTCATTATTTTCTCTCTTTAAGTGGTCTCAATGCCACTAGATGGGACAGCACACCCCACCCAGAAGGTGTGTGGGTTACACTTTGATTTATGCAACTTACCCAAAGAGAAAAGAAGACATGCAATTCTGCCTGATAGTGTTGTATTACAAACTCACAAATACACCCACAGTTGAGTTTGATGCATAACTGAGCAGCATTAATACCAGTGAATTTTTTAGCCACATATTCTTTACTTAAGAATTCAAAGCTGAGTGAACAAGATCTTTATTTTTAGCAACAGTAAATTTTTGCAACATTTAGCAAGACTTGTTTGTTCATTTTGAGGAAAGTATTTTCCTCCCATTTGTTATTACCAGTACCCAAATATGTATATTCTCTTTTATCACAGAACCTACGGTGAGTGTTGTCCAGGGCGCATTCAGTAACAACGGATCTTTCAGCCAAGATCCTTATGATCTTCCCAAAAACAGTCACATTCCATGCCATTATGACTTGCTTCCAGTACGAGATAGTCCATCGTCCTCTGAGAAGGAGGTCAGCAGTGAATGACACCTGAAGCTCATTGTACATCACAGTGGAACTCTTACAGAGAACAGTGGCTTGGTTATGTTCCTTCCTCTACTTTGCCACCATATTTGGCTCCTAATCCATTCTGTAGACAATTGCCATATGTTGAACAGAAATCTCAACCTGAGGTTTGTATAAACACATACGGCACATGGATAGATGCCAAACTGAAGAGACCCTGATCAGATTTTCCATTATAGTTATTTTTACAGACATAAATGCCACACATTTACACTGTAGCATATTTGCTTAAACATATAGTTTGCAGAACAGTTCTGATAACAGTTCCATTTCTGCTACTTTGAAACTGGAATTTTTATTTTTTACTTGCTCATGTTTCATAATAGAGAGGCCCTTAAGGACTGCAAAACCTTCCAAATATCCACTTCTTACAGATAGGTTTTTTTTTTCTAAGTAACAAATGAATCAAACTATCTGATATTGCCAGATTTCTTTCACATTCACACCACATTGTGATGGATTATATTGTCTTTGGTCAAGATGTGTAAAAAGACTTAAGTCTTTTTGGATGCAACCAAACAATATGTTGCAGTCATTTGGAAAAAAACAAATGTTTTTCATGACTATTACTGATTATGGAAATACATAGTCTGTGTAATTCTGAAAGTGATGAAAGCATTGCATAGATTAATATTATTGCAGCACCCGAAGATCAGTGGGTACCCCATATTAATAGGCTTTGGAACCCATCCTTGAAAAGCCATTTGGTGCACTAAGGCTCCATATACTATAACCATTCCTGTTATACACAAGTAATAATCCATAACATATCAGTAATTATTGCATAAATATGTAAATGAAATCAGTTTATTTTTGTCAGAATTGATTGAATGAGTGTGTAAGGAATGGACAAAAATGATGACTGCTGTAAATTTGAAGTGCAAGAAAAGGTTTAAATTTTATAAACAAGTAATATGGACTGTATTATAGAATAAGAATAGTACAATGCTTTGATTAATTTTTTCCCCTAGATGTGACTGAACAATCTCTGTGTATTTGCTAAAAAGGCACCTTTTCTTTTTTGTTATGTATAATTGATGTAGGGAAGATATGCTTAAGCTGGTCTTTTGCATTGCTAATAACTTGATAATATACCCCATTTTTCATTAATTTGTATCTCCTTTTTTAAACTGTGTATCTGTTTCTAGTGCTGTAGCTTATAATTGCAAACATATTTTATTGTATTTTGCCAGCTGGCCTTTTTATGTCTGGTTAAGATATGCTGTCTTTTTTTTTCTTTTTGGGGGGCAGGGAAGAGGGGGAAGTGTAAAAGTGAGAATTGATATTGCAGGTTAAACAAACACCTGTCAGGGGTGGTCTAGATAATACTTATTCCTGCCATGAGTGCAGGAGACTAGACTAGATGACCTCTTGATGTTCCTTCCAGTCCTATGATTCTATGATAATGTCCACTAGAGATGGGATAAGTAGGCTAGGTTGTAGTGTAAACTGGTAGATTGAATCATCAGTAAAAACTACAATTACACTATATTTTTCTTGATGGATAATGGAAAGCAAAATAAGTTGCCATAAGGAAGAAAGGAAAGAAAAAATCCTTAGTATGGGGTTCAGCTCACTCCTCTAACCCTGCATGTAGAAATAGCCTTCCCGAAGGCATTCTCTCTCTTTCTTCCAAGTAGCCAGCTGATAGTTAGGGCCCCAAATCTTCTGCAGTTCAGGTAAAGAAGAATTAATCATAGAATTTACCCTGGAAGTGGAGTTGTGCTCCAGAATCCAAGCGTTTATTTATTTGTAATTGTTAAAACTGATGCAAAAAATGTCTCCTTGAATCTGCAAATAGCCTGAATCAGTAGCTGTAGGGAGTCTATACTGCTTGTTTCCTCTCAATGGGATGTTAGATATGAAATCTAAAGACAAGATGTTATATGTCAATATTGTTGAAGATACCACTGCTGATCATATTAGCAAAGCACCTGCTGCTGGTGGCCCATAATCTCAAACAGGGTGGGGTTTTTTTCACTTTCCCAAACTAGTGACTCTGCACCCTGTCATAAGTAAGTTTACCTTTAAACACATCCAAACTATATGTTGTGAGATGAAGGCCAGCTGGTAGGTTAGGCATTTAGATACTTGTGAGCTCCCTGACAGTGCACAGGGTCCCACTGTGGCTCTTGTAGCTGAGAGTTTGGATTATGTTAGAGTCAAAGATAATTGTTGATGTTGTGGTGTTGATAGCTCCTAAGAGAATCACATCCAGTTGCCTTTAGCTGGAGAAACACCTAAAATACAGATCCTCAATGAGAAAAATGGAAAACGTTTCTGGATGGAAAAAGACTCGGTTGGCTGAAGTGGAAATACTGTCTGTCTGCTGCCGTTTAAAGTGGTGACAGATCAGAGCTCTACAGCTGAAGACCTCACCACGACTGGGTTCACATGGATGCATGGGATGCTCATTTGCACCCAGAGTTCATGTCATATATACACATTCGCTGACTTGCGAACAAACTGGAATTTCCTGGGCAATGGCACATTTTTGTAAAAGTTGTATGGCCACCTCAGGACATCACAAACGTAGAAATAAATGGTGATGTTTCAGAAATTAAGCAGTGCTTTATACCCCCACTTAAAGTAAGCAATTGATTGGGTTTGTGTGTGCCCAATACATATAGCGATACGATACTGATATACATGTGTTTGTACTGTGTGATCCAAACTTAAAAATAAAATTTTGTTTCTGAAGCTGTAAATAGAAAATGCAATACATTACAACTGTGAGTTCACAAAAGTTGTCTCCTCTTAACTTGTGTGTTATTTGAATTTGATGGCCAGTAGAATAATTATTCCTTGTAACATAAAATAAATCCCTGTCCTATATAATATACAATGGTGACGAGCAAAGCAAACTATTTTTAACATGTGTAGGAATTCCAAAAGTGGTGCACATCCTCAAATTATGCATTCAACCAAACACACATGACAATACTGCTCTGACATTTCTGGCTATTGTGTATGCTCTAAATATACTCATACATACAGGCCCAAATTCAGCCCTGTTGTATGTGGTGACACTTCTGCTGTTGCCAAGGATAATTATACCTACTTACACTAGGACTATATTTGGCCAATAAAAGTATACATACATCACATAAAAGACTTGTGAATATGCATGTGTGTGTGGAATGGGCGAACATGCTCTCACACACACAGTTGCCTGGACAATTATTGTGTTTTGTTTAAACAATATCTGCATGTTACTAACTTGAGTGAATAAAACACATTAGATAATGTAGAAATTTACTTATGATCTTTGGTTAAAAACCTGAGACCTATCAATGTTTACTGATATTAATTCCACCTTGATGTTACAAAGGATACAGAATTTTTCCTATGGCACCCGTTAGCACTTATGCCATCTGGAGCAGGTTTCCTCAAGTGCCTCAAAAAGACATGCTTTGAAATACACTTTTTTGCTCTCCTAAGAACAACCACAGCTCATAGCAGCCCTGGCTGCTCATCACAGCATGCTCACTAACCCAGAAAGGGAATTTAGACTCTTCCCAGTCTCCATACCATGCTACCATATGGACATGATCTATATGTTGATACATTACCTGGCTATTTTTCAAGACTTGTTGAGAACTAGGGAGAGGGATCCTGCTTTGCCATTTGCACAAATGGAAGGAGGCACCTGTGTCATTATATGTTGCAAAAGGAAAACAATATAAAACTCTTGGATAAATGTCCCCTAGCAACTTGTGCACCTGTGCAATAAAGTGCAGAATTAAGCCAAAAGTTAATTGCTGATTTTAAAATATGGTATTGAGTACAATCCCCAAAATGTTAAATGAATGAGACAAACTATGACCTGACAATTTCGAAAAACGCTGAACCTCACAAACATTTTTAGTATCAGAGACTTTTACTCCCAAACACTGCTGCACTTAAACTTTGCCCTCATCTCATTTACTTACACAGATAATTCCCATTAATTTTAATTGGAGCTGTCCATAAAACTGAGAGATGAACAGCCTTCATTGTGACTATCCTTTCTGCTGGAGCATTTAACAAACACAAACTGCAAATCAAATGAAAGTTTAAAAATACAAAAATTGGTGAGCACATTATTATAAATGTATTTGATTTTCAAAATGCCATGACTAAACCAGGATTCTTGAGTAGGATTATGTTTCCAAGTAATGACACTTATACTGAGCTACATGAGTAGCGCAATGCATCTTTAAGATCCATACTGAAGAATACAGAGCTAATTTTGACAAAATGCTTTATATTAAAGACTGTGTATATAGGAGTTTAAATGACCTAAAGCGGATGGGTGCTTGTCTAACTATTGTACAGAAAACCTTGCCCTTTTTTAGTACAATTAATACCCTAGCACTGGACCTAACTATATGTTCAGTATTTCACCCCAGCCACTTTCCACTTTGATATGATTGAATTATAATATATATATTTTTAAGAAAACCTACAAACTATGTCTGGCTTGTATCTGGATTGTAACAAAACAAATTGTTTCAATGCTGAAATGTTTTCTGTTTTCCAAAGATGACTGATGCTCATCATATTACCCTTCACTACCGGTGATTTCACCTAACATGCTTGTAGGTTAATGTAATAAACTTTCTAATAAAAGACTTGAAACGTTGTGTTTGATTTTTCCCCCGCCTGTATTTTCCTTTCTCCAGGGCAACTTGAAGTACCACAAAAGCTATGTGAGGCTTTACATGTATGTGGTCCGTTCAATAACAGTAATTGGGTGAAATCCAGGACCCATGGAAGTCAACGGGAGTTTGTCATTGGCTATAGTGGGGCCAGAATTTCGACCATGGAGTTTTGCACCAAAGCTCATCCATTTTTAAAGTGTTTAGATCAGTTTCTTGCCCTGACTTTGGTTGTTTTGTGGCTTAATGGGCTCCCTGAAGGAAGGAAATCTCCAGATGGAATACAGCCAACTCTGTGCTACCCCTCTTTATGCTTTTTTTGGGCATCTACTGGCATGGCAAGGGGACAAGTGTCTTGCAGTTCTATGGTGATGCCTACCTATCAAAATGATCCTTTTGGAACTGTGGAAGCCAGTTTAAACTTAGAGCAGTACTGAGGGTGACATGGAAAGATTTAAATAATGTCCAAGCATTTCTTTTGACTCACTCCACACATCTATTTGTCAGGATAACAATATCCTATTACAACCATGTAAAATACCAGTGAGAAGCATAAAACTACAGCTATGTAGGTAGGAAGAAATCATCCAGCAGCACCACTATTCTCTTTTCTGTTCCATATGCTAGCATATAGCCTATACTGTATCAAGAACACTAGCTGTGGGCAAATGTGCTTGGAATTGGCTTTTTACTCTCTCTCTCTTCAGTTAGATGGAGAAGTCCTGAAGTCCTTCCTCATGTATATATTTTTTAAAATTGTAATCCACAATCTGAAAGGGCAGAAATGCCTCAAACATGAAAAACATATTCTTTCCAAAAATGTAATGATTCTTGTAATATTTGAGCGAATTAAATTGCCTCATTAGCATCTTTAACATGTGTGATCAGCATTTATATCGCAAATCAGACAAAGTATATCTGGCCTCAGCAGTATTTCAAACATAATTTTTTAAACATCTCAACTGCACTTTCATAACTGTCCTATTGATTACAGCCTCTGGGTCTTCCCATCTACAACAATTGTCAGAGATGGCAAGGAAAATTCTATTTTCTACTCATGTTGCAGTTCCTATATTCCTCTATTGCTAACATAATTATGACAACATTGTGCAGGATCTTGCCTACACGTGTCTTTTTGATATGGAAAAAATGGAAAGATTGACTCTGAAGACTTTAGTGCAATGAAACAGCTGATTATATATATGTGTTTAGAAGTAATTCTATTTTTGTGGTTACAGAGATTGATTATACTCATTATGACATGATGCATGAGAATATAATAGGAAGAAAGCAAGTTAAAATTACTTTGACAAGTTAAATGTCTTCCAGTCATCAGAGCCTGAAGAAATATACCCTAGAATACTAAAGGAACTGAATGAGGAGATATCTGAGCCATTACTGATTATCTTTGAAAAGTCATGGAAGACACACGAGATTCTAGAAGACAGGAAAAAGACAAATATGGTGCCAATCTACAAAAATGGAAATAAGGAGAACTCAGGGTGTTTACAAGTCAACCTAATAGCTTTCTTTGGTAGGGAAGCAAGCCTTGTGGGTAAACATGGTATATCTTGAGTTTAGTAAGGCTTTTGGTACTTTCTTGCATAATTTTTTTTCATAAACAAACTATGGAAATACAACCTAGATGCAGCTATCATAAGGTAGGGGCAAAACTGGACGGAAAACCATTCCCAGAGAATAGTTATCAGTGGTTGAGAGTCTAGCTGGAAAGACATATCAATTGGAGGCCCACAATGATCAGTTCTGGTTCTGTTCAATATCTTCATCAGTGATTTAGATAATGGCATAGAGAGATAAACTTATTGAGTTTGCCAATGATACCAAACTGAGAAGGATTGGAAGTGCTTTGGAGAATAGGATTAAAGTTCAGTGAGTTTGCCAATGATACCAAACTGGGAAGGATTGGAAGTGCTTTGGAGAATAGGATTAAAGTTCAAAATGATCTGCACAAATTGGAGAAATGATCTGAAGTAAATAGGTTGACATTCAATAAGAACAAATGCAAAGTAGGAGCAATCAACAGCGTACATACAAAATGGGAAATAACTGACATGATTTTAGAGTCATAGTAAGTTAAATGAGTCAGTAGCGTAACACTGTAGTAAAAAAAATTAAACATCATTCTGGGATGTATTAGCAGGAGTTTTGTAAGCAAGACATGAAAAAGTAATTCTTCCTCTTTACTCTGTGCTGATTAGGCTTTAACCTGAGTATTTTGTCCAGTTCTAAACATCGCATTTCGGGGAAAAAATGGACAAATTGGAGAAAGTTCAGCGCAGAGCAAAAACAATTATTAAAGATCTAGAACACATGGTATACAAGAGAAGATTGAAAAAAATGGGCTTGTTTAGTCTGGAGATGAGAAGACTGAGGGGTGAAGTGATAATAGTTTTAAAATACACAAAAGGAAGAAGAAGAATTGTTCTCTTTAACCACTAAGAATAGGAGCAATGGGCTTAAATTGCAGCCAAGGTGATTTAGGTTGGACATTAGGAAAAAGTTCCTCACTGTCAGGGTTGTTAAGCACTGGAATAAATTGCCTAGGGAGATTGTGGACTCTTTGGAAAATTTTAAGAGCAAGTTAGACAAACATCTGTCAGGGATGGTCTAGATAATATTTAGTCCTTCCTTGAGTGCAGGGTACTGGACTAGAAGACCTCTTGACATCTCTTCCAGTCCTACTATTCTATGATTCTGTGTGACAATCAAGAATATTTAATCTCTCAGGGGCACTGACACAAGTATCAAAAACCATCAGCCTCAATGAATGGCACTGATGAAGCTTTGTCACCTTTTACTTAATAATACTAGGAATTCATGTGTAGTACGAATTGGTGAAGACTGCCCCTTTCATAGGATTATTCAAAATGGTTGCACTATCTAGCTCAGTCATCAGTCTTTGCAAAGCACCCGCAATGTGGCAAGATTTATGTTATTATTCCTTTCAATTTTTTCAAGCTTAAGACTACAGTTGAACTTATAAACCCGTGAATATTGGCTCTACTGGGCTAGCAAAGCTTGGATTTTTTTTTATCATTTAAATACACACAGGGAGCATAATTATTGCATACAACGCTACTGGTTTTTCTTAGTTACTGCTCTGACTGTAACCATGTTTTAAGTATGTCAGCGTATGTACACAAATCATATCTATAGCTACTTTGTGACTTTACAGACTAGCAGAACTCACTGAACACAAAAAAACCCAACAAATGGTCTGGTAGCATTTTATAGACTAACGAAACATGTAGATGGTATCATGAACTTTTCTTCAGATGACCGGAGTTATGAGTTGGGGATATGAAAACTCGAAATAAATAGGAGAGGGGAAGGGAAGGAGGGAGAGAAAGAAAAAGGGAGAGGGGTGGGAGACAGAGCATCATTAAGTATCTGGAGAATGGGTACTTAAACCTAAGCAAATAAAAATCAGTCAATCGATAGATTCCTAAAACAGGAAGGATATCACTCAGGGAGCTAGCAGCACCTTCAGTGGTTATTAAGTAGGTAGAGTCCCCACCAGCCCATATCCCGATTGAGTCCATTAGCATGTGAATTGAAATTTGTGGATGAACTGGGATTCCAGGGCTTCTCTGTGTATTTGGCTTGTAGAGCTGGTTTGTGACAAGACAGCTACTTGCAGGTCTGTCAGACTGTGGTTAGGCAAGCTGAAATGCTCACCAACAGGCTTTTGTATATTCCCTTTACATATATCCGATTTGTGTCCATTGAATCATGGCTTTTGTATATTCCCTTTACGTATATCCGATTTGTGTCCATTGAATCAATTGGCTCTACTGGGCTAGCAGAGCTTGGATTTTTTTTTTAATTCAATGGATGCAAATTGGATATATGTAAAGTAATTACAGAAGAGATCACCATGAGGGCAGGGGACCGGATATACGTAAAGGAATATACAGAAGAGATCACCATGAGGGCAGGGGACTAGACTCAATGACCTCTCGAGGTCGCTTCCAGTCCTAGTATTCTAAGATTCTATGATTGTCTAGTCCAGGGTTTCTCAAACTTTATTGCACCACAACTTTCTTCTGATAATAAAAGCTACTATGTGACCAAGGAAGGGGAAACAAGGATGGAGCCTTATCCCCCTGGGGACTGGTGTTATCTGAGCCCTGACACCTAGAACTGCAGTTATCAGGGTTAAGCTTCAGCCCTGGATGGTAGGATTCAGACTTTTGGCTTTAGCCCCAGGCCTCATCAAGTCTAACACCAGCCCTGGTGACCTCATTAAAACAGGGCTAGACCCACCATTCTGGGCAAAAATTCACTTTAGTCATGCAGAGACTTCCCCATTCAATGTCCTATCTCTCACCATTGGGTTTATTTACTAGTAGCACTCACATGCCATTGTAGGCAGTCTCCTCATACCTCCTCATAGATGTTAAGGCCATAAGTGATTACTGTGATCATCTAATCTGGCTTCCTGCACATTGCCAGATATGGAGCCTTGTCCACCCACTGCTGTAACAATTCCTAATCTTCAGATGAGTTGGAAGTCCTCAAATCATGGTTTAAAGAAGCTACAGAGAAATCACCATTTATACTAGCTTAAGCCTGAAAGTGACTTGTGCCCCATGCTGCAGAGAAAAGCCAACCCGCCCCCACCCTCACAGGTCTCTGCCAATTTGACCTAGAAGAAAATTCCTTCCCAAACTCAAATATGGTGATCAGTTAGACCCTGAGCATGTGGGCAAGACCCACTCCTTGGACCATCCTACTAGCCTTTCTTTGCACTATCCCATTTTGAATTCATCTTTCTTAAGCATGGGAGACCAGAACTGCACAGTTCTCACCAGTGCTTCATCTAATGGTAATACATCTTCATCTCTACAGAAAATACCTTGCTTGATGCATACTGGGATTGTATTAGTTTTTTTCAAAGTTGTATCACATTATTGGTCCATTCCTGACATGCTGCCT